TAGACGTTCTTGTGATGATGACTTCCAGATTTTGGGGATAATAATAGTTGTTGAGTTTTTTTAGAAGTTATTGAATTGGCTTTTATTAATGAGTTTAAGTCTTCCGCATTACTTTCTGTTGATATTATAATGAAATGTTAAAGTTTAGATTGGTTGGTTCGCTCATATAGGAGGGTAAGGGTGGGTGCCCAGTCGCGATCCGGTTTGGGTCATGACAGATATTTCACATCTTATTAATGAATTTTAATTGGATTGTTTGTATTCATAGTGATGTATTTGTTGGATTTGTATTGTATGCTATGTAATTATTATGTTTTTTGTATTTGTGTTGTATGATATTTATTAATGAATTCATTTTGAGTGGTTTTGGATGTGTTTATATTCATTATACTTTGTGAGAGTCTTGTTTGTATCAGTAAAATATATATACACATTTTAATGTTATTTCAATGTTTTCAAAGTTAAAGTAAATACATATGAATTTTATTTACTGTATTCTTACATATATCATTTGCTCAGGATATTGCATTTGCATGCAAAGATTGTACTTCCCAAATCATTGATAAAGTCAGGATTAGAGTTGTTAACAAAGTCAGAATTAAGTAACAAACATATGTATTCACAATTGTACTTGCATCAAGTTATGAACAAAATAGTATCCAAGTAATTAACAAATTTATGTATTCACAATATTATTTGCATCATATTATGAATAAAACTGTATTTTTCTTATTTTGATTAAGCCTACCAACACAAATGTATTCTAAACAAATATTGAAATTGTATTCATCACTTACTTCATGACAATCACTTACAAAATACATATACGTATACTAAACAAATATTGAAATTGTATCCACTTCAGAACAATCGCTTACAAAATACATAACATTCATCATATCCATTTCGATAAGGGCTACCCGTTTTTTGTATCCAAGTACTTGCTTCATGTTATGAACAGAACTTCATCCTAGTAACAAATATATGTATTCACACTAGCGATTACATCATGCTATGAACAAAACTACATTCT